ATGATGTTTTGCAAAAACATTTTTGACCGATTACGGAAAAATATTAATAAAAAAATATGTATTTCTCAAATTTCATAAAAGTACAAGAAATGTAGCAAAGGAACACATAATTAGCCATTTTTACCCGTTTAGATTGAATTTCTTTTTCCTGTTTTTCCCTCTAGGGGAACTGAAAACTCATCGTCTAAAATATTTTTACTTTAGAACGAAAAAAAATCAGACTATAACATAGAAGTAAAAATTTTTCCTTTTTTTCGCCTTTTCTCCTATTTCGAAACGGAACTTTGCTACATAATACATATTTCAGACACTTTAAAAGCTTAATCGGAAATGTTTTTGCTTGAGTATAAACAATAATTAGTATTTACTCCCAAAACTAGGAATTTTGTCTCTTTTTCATCCACATACCCCTTCTTGTCCCTTCTTATCCAAGTTTTGGAAAACAATATAGTATATCACACCATACACCTATATATCTAATATGAATATGGCATTTGAGCTCATAAATATGTTAAATGTTCTTGTATCACAAACAAAATCGGCAAAACTAATTTTTTATAAGTTTTAATGTCACAACTGATTTTCGTAATGATCGGTCCTCATTTGATCACATTCCCCATATAAAGTCCCCTTCATAAAAGGACTTGATGGTTCAAATTCACTTATAAACACTAATATTACGGCGATATTCTACATAAATAACTTTAATGTAGACGTAAATCCCTTTACCAAAATTTCTAAAGATAGGCCCATATTAACCACCTACCCCCATACCTACCCTCTTTTAGAAAATCCTTTGTCAATAACTTGTTAAAATATTTCTGAATTAAGGTAAAAATAAATTTAAATGCTTTATTATTAAAAAAATAATCAACATTTGTATCATAATCACTGGTGTAGGGCATCATATGGTCAGCCATACCCAACTATAAATTTTTACTTGTTTATTTATTTGTGTTATTTATTCATTGAAGTAGTTTGAATTGTCTGAAATATGCATTTATTAAGTCTCTTTACGCAGAAAAAACAGATTTCCCTTTTTTACCCGTTATTTCCCCTAAGGGTGGGATTTCTAAATACATGTACATATGTCTGAGACTATCAAAATCATGGTTTAAAATATTAGTAGTTTAATCGAAAATGATTTTGCTTAAGGATAGACAAAATCAGTATTTACTATCAAAAGTACTCATTTTGCCCATTTTTCACCCATTTTACCCCATTTTTGCCCCCTCCTAGTCCAAGTTCTGAAAAAATATATAGCCTATAACACTCTCCAAGTATAGATCTAACTATGTTCCAAATTTGAAGAAAATCAATCCAGCCGTTTAGGCGTCATTGACGAACAAACAAACGAACATACTTACAAAGAGATTTATAATATATATTAGGATTATACAGTTTCTCTGAATGCGACTTTTTTCGCTAGAGGTCAATCTAGTTCAACATTATAATGTTCGACAAGTAAGAATATGTAAAAGAACTGCAAACGTCGATATTATTAAATTAATTCAGTGAGTCACACGATTTTTTAACCCATCACTACATATACGGGTTGTATATTGATTTTTTCATTGCATTTGATACACATCGAATTATTGGCCGAGTCAAACAGAAATACATATTTTTATTCTGGGTACTTATGAAACAAATTATACGAAGATAAATTAAAATCATAAATCTAAAAAAAATAATTTAGCACTGAAGAGAGACAGTTAAAAAATTGTTTATTAAATATGTAAAATTTGGAAGTGGTGGTTGGTTTATAAAATTCGGCTAAGCTGAATGAAATACTTTTATTCGTAATTTGTGTTGAATTTTCAATAAAGAAAAATTCAATCAAACTAAAAGAATAGTTCCAAAACAATCAATGAATGCACTACAATATACATAATCAGCGCACACAGATGCATATACAGTTAATCACAAAAGTGAGTATACATATCGAGACATTATATTCAAAAAGTGTTTTGGTCACGTTGAGTTTTAGATGACAAACACCTTTTTTTTTTGCTTTTAATAATTTCTGTTAAAGCCGCTTTTACATTATTTACCACAAGTAAGCACCGGTCTACACAGGAAAATTTCTTTTTTGAAGAAAGAAATATCAATAATCTCTCTAGCAGTACGAAGTTTCTCATACTCGGAACCTTGTTTTCCCTGTGTAGACCGGCACTAATATGATCTGTCAAAAATTTTTATAAAAGAGAATGGATAGGATAGTCGGTCTAAACGTATTACATATTGCCACCATCACACATGAGATAGAATACGAATAAACAAATTTGACAGTCTTATAGCTCTCTTCATTTTTTGAAATGATTAAAAAAACAAGAAACTTTCATTAGATCAGGGATGTATTTTTATGCAAACACATACAAAATAAGTTAGAGTGCTATGTATATTCGGCTATGCCGAATCTTAAATAACCTCCACCAGCAAGCTACTTTTTATTAAAACCCATTTAACCATGTATCTAGTTTTTAGATAACTCTTCATAGGTTTTGTTTCCGTAGTAAAAGTACCATCATTTAGTAATTTCTTTATCGATCATATTAGGTCGAAACAAAAATGTATATTAAGTGATTTTCGGATATGGACTTTTTACGGTGTCAAAAAATTTAGGAGGGCGATTTGTATATTTACAAACCATATTTCTGTCGAGTTTTAATCCGACGTCGATATTTTTAATGAAATATATTCGTTTTAGTATTTTTTGAAACGATGCTTTTTTCCTTATATGGGAGCTACGACTTATAATGGACCAATTAGAAAACATTTTATCAAAATTATTTATCTATACACAGAACACGCTCATGTTGAATTTTATCCCGATAGCTTTATTAGTTAATGAAATATATGCGTTTAAGTGATTTTCGGAAGTTGACCTTATATGGGAGCTATGACTAATTACGGGCCTATCCCGAAATTTTGAGTTGATACCGATATATTTGAGGAAGTTATTAACAATACATTCATTTCCGGAAATATATACCTTTGTATGGGGGCTATGGGAAATTTTGGATCGATTGTTATGATTTTGAACATAATTGAGAAAATTGCTTAAAAATTACGAAAAAAAACGTAATTTCTTGGTGTTACACACGGAATGACAAACTTATATACCCTCTATCACCACTGATGGTGGTGGAGGGTATAAAACGAAACAGTTGTTTCCATTCTACTTTATTATTGTCTCTTACCAATAGTGTAAAAGCAAAAAGAATAAATCATACCACTTTTATTCTCTTTTTAAAAAGGCGGATAGAATTTCATTTGATTTTCCATACGTAAAGTCGTATGTAAACTCTCATAGTCCAAAGCAGCGGTTCCCACCGGTTTTTACTACGAACCCCTTGAGAAACTTATTTAATTTCGCGGACCCCCATATATATTTTAATATCTTATTGTGCTAAATAATTTCCGAAGTTCATCCGAAAATTGTCCTAGTCCATAAATCCCTAAGTCAAATAAATGTAGAGATGTCATATCTATAAAATATTCCCGTACATTGAGAATATATGTATAATATTTCTGATAGGTTTTCAATTACATGGTTTTGAAGATAGAATGACTTCTTTGTTGAAATGTTAACATGATGTTTAATTTTATGGTCGTGAGATCTTTCACGTTCATTTTTCTTCAAGGTAGCGAAAAGTTTCTTTATCAAATATTGTCGACATGTGCTTAAGGAGTTATGTTTCAAAAATTTGTTGCGATTGCAAAGAGTGAACTGAGTAAGTGAGCTAAGTTTTCGGAAAAATAATATAATGTCGGACTTCTTCGATTTTGTTACGGAATGCGTTATCCGCATAATATATGACTTGAACTCTTTACGATAGTACTGTGAATTTGGAACTTAAATTTGAATTTTAAAATACCAACGAATAATTTTACTGAATGGTTTAGACTATTTACGCGAAACGCTACGGATTTTCTGATGTTAATTTAATACTATTGGTCGACAAAATCAAGTTAAATCTGTGCATTTTAGTCCTTTCAAACAAGAACACTCTTACTTACAATTTGACAAACTTAAATCTGCCATAAGCTTGTCTTTGAATTATGAAATATGGCCTAACTTCTCCGGGATACCAGTATCCTTATTTAATTGTAACGCAGAGCATTATCCGTCTGAAATAAAAACCATTATTTCAGTACGTATACAGGAAATAAAAATTTCAAATCACACAATACTTTTACTTTATTAAAGTGATACAATAAATTTGTAGGGCCTAGTTTCGGCCTGATAAACAAGCGGAAAAATAAAATTCAAAAAGTCCTCAAAAAATCTAGGATTATTGCACAAAAATTCGATATATTTGTACATATAAAAGTAGAATATTGTTTATTCATGATTTTTTTTTTCGTTCATTTTCCCGGACCCTTAGGATTTTAATACGGACCACTAGGGGTCCGCGGACCCCCATTTGGGAACCGTTGGTCTAAAACACTTTAATATGATATTAAAATTTTCATAATTAAAAAAGCCTTTAAATATACAAAAACGAGGCACTTTATTCAAAAACAGACCACTCAAATAAGTTTCAGGAGAACAAAAAACTGGTAAGCCTCAGTTCCCTACCATTGATTGAAAATCTTGATCTCAATACAATAAGTTTAATAAAATTTTCTACAAACTTTTCGAGATGGGTCTCAAAAATTGCGTAATTTTATACAAATTTATATAAAAAATTACTATACATACATATATTGTATTTACAAAACTTGTTAGTTGTTAGTAAATAATAATCCACATAAAACTTTTAAAATTAAGTTAGTTTTGAAAATTTATTTTAGTGTTTAACTGTATTTAAATTACATTAAAATGGCACGTGTCTGCCTGTTGTTTTCCCGGCAACTTAGTATATGTAAGTGCTCTTTTTTTAATTCGGAATATATTAATAAAAATCATACGATTGCAAATTTTACATTACAACTTTTTTAGTTGTGGTATAAAAGAGAAAATATCAAATGTTCATATTTAGTTTATACTTACATTTTCTATACTACATTACGTTTTCACTATTTAATACCCGACAAATATATTTCTTGATAAACAAAATAAAGAAATTATAAAAATAAGAAATGTCGGGAAAAACTAAATTTGAAGACAACAGTAACGACATTGTGATTACAGGCGTTTCAGGACAATATCCCAATAGTAAAAATGTTAAAGAATTTGAATATAATTTATACAACAAGGTGCGCTTTTAAATTTAAAAAAAAACTCTAAGGACTCTATCTAAAAATAATTCAAAAAATATATCGATGTTGAGAAGTTATGATGATAATTGTTCATGTGAAAAACTATGTATTCTATTTAATATTTTCGAGATGTATTGATGAGGAATATTATTCTATTTAACATTTTCGACATGTATTTATACATACAAACAATGCATAACCAATCTAATAAGTTAGAAGTTGTCCCAGTTTTGAAAAAAGTGCTATTAATATACTTTCCAATAAAGCAAAAATCAGTTTAATTGAACTGTGTTGTTGTTATATCGCGGTACTTTAGAAAAATATCTAAGTGGATAAAAATATAAATATAATAATAATAATAATAATAATAATAATAATAATAATAATAATAATAATAATAATAATAATAATAATAATAATAATAATAATAATAATAATAATAATAATAATAATAATAATAATAATAATAATAACAATAATAATAATAATAATAATAATAATAATAATAATAATAATAATAATAATAATAATAATAATAATAATAATAATAATAATAATAATAATAATAATAATAATAATAATTATAATAATAATAATAATAATAATAATAATTAATGTGCAATTAAAAAAGAACTCCAGAGACTTTCATGTCTGATGAAAACATGGGTGACAAATTGACCAAACTGTGGAGTCCTATTTTTCCATTAGATATCGAACAGGAAGATCACGTATTTGCAGCAAAGTATATATATTCCGGGTCCTTATCAAATTCTGTGTCAATTTAACAATGCCCGTCTGTCCATCCGTCTGTCTGTATGAATAAAACACGTTCACGTTAATAATAAGCAAAGGGATTCAACCAAATTCTCCTAAAATATTCGCTATTGTCCTAAGCAATTTGGTATTAAAAATAAGAAAAAACGGTTCACAAGAAAAAAGTTATGAGCAAAAAATTCAGACTACTTGGAAAAAAAAGACGTTTTTACCTAATTCTCGAGTAGTTTTTCAGAAACTACCAATGATAATTCGATGAATTTTGGCACACGTTATTTATTTTACCCAGGGATCAATTATGTTTAAACTCAAAACCATCGGCCCAAAATTTCCCATAGCCTCCATACAAAGGTACATATTCTCGAAAATGGTTTATGATCACCAAATTTGGCACATATGTATGAATAGAAATCATATTACCAACGTAGATCTGTATAGGTCCGTTATTGGTCATAGCTCCCTCATAAGGTCCACTTTCAAAAAATACTTAAATACACATAATTAATTAGGAAATAAAGATATTGGAATAATATTCGATATAAATATGTTTTGTGTATACATATATCACTGCAAAACATTTTTCGGATTGGTCCATAATTGGGCATAGCTCCAATATAAGGCCCTTTTCCGATAACCACGCAAACGCACATATTTCATAACTGAATGAAGATATCGTTATAAAATTCGTCCTGAATGTGTTTAAAGTAGATATAAAACACCCTGCGACATTTATTCCGAATCGATCTATAATGAATGAAGATATCGGTATAAAATTAGTCATGAATGTGTTTAAAGTAGATATGAAACACCCTGCAAAATGTTTTCCGGATCGGTCCATAATGGTCAAAGCTCCCATCTAAGGACCACTTTTGAAAATCACTTAAATTCAAATATCTAATTAAGAAATAAATATATTTAAAAAAAAGGCTACAAGAATAAGTGTTTTCGGATCTGTCCATAATTGGTCATATCTGTCATATAAGATCCACTTCAGAAAAACGAATATTTCACTGATAAATAAAGATATCGGAATAAAATTCCGCATAAATAAAAAATGTAGTAAATTTTGTTTATATAAGAGATCTTTTAAAAACAAGTTAGAGTGCTATATTCGGCTGAGCCGAATCTTAAATACCCTCCACCAGCTAGTTTTATATTAATAACCTTTTAGTTAATCAAATATTTGTGATAGGGGTTCTCATCATTTCTAATAGAACAAGCAAAGATGTAAATATTTTGAATCTGTTACAATTGCAATTTTTTTCGCAGCATTATAAACACGATTTTCTATACGTGTACTGTTGTGCAAAATTTCGTCAGTTATTGAGAAAAACGACTTAGAAGGTTTACATAAACTTTTCTCAAAATTTACGTGATAGATTTTTTTTTTTAAATTTCTCACTTGATTTCGACATACATTTTGAACAAAATTATAGATTTATACAACGTTATGTAAAATTGAAAAAAAGTTATTAAGATTTTAATGACAACAATAATTCCTGGTTTATGGTCTATATTAATTTTATTATTTTTGTTTAGGGTCTATATCTATACAAAATGAGTATTTTTATACCCGTCATCAAATAAGATCCGAACGAAAACAGCTAGAGGGCTAAAATTTTCCACAAATATTTCTTATGGATGCAGGTTGCTTGGTGTTGAAAATGGACAGTATCGGACAATAATTTCACCCATAGCCTCATAAACAAACATACGTGCCCGCCCAAAATGCATTTTAAGTAGACAAACCAGACTTAAAATTAACAGTATAGCGATGAAATTTGTCAAAAACTAGTTTTATGGGAAACAAAAACTTTCTACCAAATTTTATGAGGATCGGCCCATAATTGACCCTACCTCCAATATATAGCCCTCATCCAAAATGACTTTAACTACAGTCTTAAAAATGCCATTATAATGATGAAAATCGAAATAAAAAAGTTTTATATTTATAGTAACTAAAATCTCTCAACCAAATTATCATGGGAGACACCGGTCTCCCATGATAATTTTTCTCGATGTAGATCGTAATTTTGAGTTCACGGCTACAGTAAATGATTATTTCCCATTGAAAACTAAGTTCTTTTTTAGAATTTGACGGCACTAGGTACATGCTAAAAGGGATAATATCCTGCGATATCTTACGAAAACACTTTTTTCCATTTTTCATCAAAATATATGTACGTCAACATAAAGTGTGTAGTGAGCTCATATTCATAAAAAGTCCAGAGGTTTCGTTTTGTGCGTGAAAGGGATAAAGGCCTCCTTTAGAAAAATACTTTAAGGATCATACAGTCCTAGCAATGAAATTCAGCAAAAATATGTTTTACATAAATCGAAATCTCTTCATACAATTTAATTGGGATCGGTCCATTATTGAGCCTACACCAACCACCCCCTAATAATGACATCTTTAGAAAATGACTTCAACGACCACTACTGACTCAAAAAATAAAATCTATGTAATCAGTTTTTCATAGACGTTTTATAAGCACTTTAAAGTTTAAAGGAAAATTAGTATTTATTTATCATACGTAATTACTTTTTATTTATCATATGTAATTACTTTTTTTCGCAGATTAATATGATTGACGATCTTGAGACACGATGGAAACACATATATCCAGGAGTTCCAAAAATGCTGGGTAAAATTCCATATATTAATAAGTTTGATGCGACTTTTTTTGGAATTCATCAAAGTCAAGCAGACCAAATGGATTTCCAGATGCGTATCTTACTTGAGGAATCGTACAAAGCTATCATGGATGCGGGAGTAAATCCATCTAGTTTGCGCAATACCAACACCGGAGTGTATATTGCAGCCTGTGCATCTGAATCTGATATGTTTCTTATGTATTGCGAAAATTCAGAAAATGGGTTTGGTTTATTGGGGTATGTTTATACAAAATATTAATATACATACCCAGCAAAAACTCGGTAATGGCTTGTACTTACATAACCATCTACTTTTCAATGACTACTACATACCGTCGGCGTTACTTTTAAGTACTCTTATAATGACCGACATATATTATATTCACACTATGTGTACATTAAACTGTGGGCCATAAGCTCTTATGCCTCTGTAAAAGGACCTTAAATTTTAAAAACATATGACTTCAAAAGAGAAAATTCCAAATTTATATAAATAATTTGGTATTAATATTAACATCAAATCATGCTGAGAACATCTGCTTCAAAATAATATTATTTATTTCAATTCATCAGGATTAAAAAAGAAATGGAAGCTTAAAGAAAATTTGCAGTAAAATAATCTTATTTGTAAGATTATATTTCTTCGTGAAACTGGCGTCGAAAATACAATTTAAATTTATATTTAATACTTTTCTTAAAGAACTTCAAACCAATTCGAACCCGTCCGGTAAATAAAAACGGGTAAAGCTGTTCACAAAGAAACAAAGAAATCATAGAGTTGCAATTTATAAAGTCCGTTAAATTTGAAAAGTATGCGTTAAATTAAATAAATTGTGATCAGATGAACAAAGTTGTACAAGAACTAAATTACATAGTTGCATTTGACTAAAATCAGTTAAATTCAAAAATAAACATGAAAAGATAATTTTAAACAATGAAATGATATTATGGATGTTTGAAGTTAAGAAAAATGAATAAATATTATAAAATAAATAATGAACTGCTTCAGTAGTAGTTAAATATTTCTGTTTCAAAACTTAGTCCTATTTTAAATTTATTTTTTTTCGTTTTTTGTCAAAGTGAGTCAAATAAATAAAATAGGTAGAATGTGAAGATTCCCAGCTTTCATTTGATACCAATATTATCATGCAGCACATAGAAATATTCAAAATATCATGAATTCCATGAGAAATCAATTAAGAATTGACTGATGGTCTTCAGATTTCTTTAATTTTTTGTTAACACATACTCCATTAGGCACTTAAGACATATCAATATTAAATTATTAAAAATTCCAAAAAATTCGATTTTTATGAGGATTTTAATTTATTCGAAAGCTACAAAAAATCAAAAAGGTATAAAACTTTGAAAGCTTATATTTTTGAGAGTTTATATCGGATTTTTTTGTTTTAAAACCCAATCTATTTCTATTTTCCAATATAAAATATTTTAAAAAATCGACAAAAATACATCTATTTCATCACGTCACAATAAAATATTTTTATATTTTGCATAAAAAGCTTCAAATAACCGATTTATGAACTTTTAAAACTTTTTCAACAGGAAGAACAATTTCAAAAATACATTTCTTTAAAAAATGCATTATCTTAAACTTTTTAATATAAAAATTATTCTAGAATCCATAGTAATAGATGGGGGTTTAAATCAAAAAAATCTGATATAAACTCTCAAAGATATAAACCTTCAAAGTTTTATACCTTCTTGATTTTTTGTAGTTTTCGAACAAATTAAAATCGCCATAAATATCGGAGTTGTTTTATTTTCTACATAAAGAACATATATTGATAATATTAAGGAAATTGGAAGACATGACGTCAAAAATTGTCAGTTTTTTTGTGTTCTTTCTCGGAATTCATGAAATACGCTTGAGATTTTAAATCCTTTAAACTTTGAAGTCCTTTTATAAAGACATAAAATCGGAGTACGCAAAATTGCTATAAATGGAATCTAGTTTCACATGCTTATCAACTCTTTTATGTGTGAAAGCTTTTTTTTCAAAATTGTTACAAGGTATAATCAGATACGTAAGTACTTTATTTTGAGTTTTGCAGTTTTATTTGTACATCGTTATTTGGCGCACAATAAAGTAACTAAGCAGTGTTGTTGTAAGACAGCGAACTAACGAACAAGAAGCCCAGGTTCGTATTCGGTGTGAGCGATTTTTGTTTGTTTTTAAAACAAAACAACTTTTTAACTCCTTATTTGTAAGTACTTATTTAAGTAGTGATTTGTAAGCGAGAGTGATAAGTACTTGCAGCTAATGTCAACAGCGAGTTAAAATGCTAATGAATAAGTAGCGAAAAGCGGCTTTTTTAGCTTCTTAACTCATTACTATTCAATGTATATTTTTGCTGGGTACCTATGTATATAATTTCAAAGCACAGTGAGACAAAATAAACTGAAGTAGAAATATGTACCTTGAAAGTGATTCTAATTTTCTGATATGTATTATCGAGTGAAACAAGAATCTGTTTTTAAAATGTTCCAAACACCTCCAAAATATGGAAATACGGATAAAAAACAGGTTTTTGGTATCCCTAAGCAATTATAACTCAGTTGAATATCAACCAAGGTTTTTTAACGTACTTAGAAAGAAGAAGCTGAGGCCTTTCGTTTGGTATATGTTTTAATTGAGTAAAAAATCATTTATTTTTGTTTCACAGATCAAGTAAATCATTGCTGGCCAATCGTATTTCATTTGTCTTGGGTCTCAATGGTCCATCGCAAATTTGTGATACTGCATGTTCCAGTTCAATGTATGCGTTAAACGTTGCTTATGAACACATGAAAAATGGAATCATAGATGCGGCAATTGTTGGTGGAACAAATGGAATGATATGTCCTTTTATAACAGCAAAATTTGCAAAGCTTGGTGTTCTTTCGCTAACAGGAAACTGTAGACCCTTCGATGAAGATGCTAATGGATATGTACGATCTGAAGCTATAAGTTGTGTTTTTCTTCAAAGAAAACGTGATGCAAAACGAGTATACGGAACTCTTGTACATTCTGCAACGAACTGTGATGGTTTTAAAGCTGAGGGAATAACATATCCCTCTGGACACATGCAGATGAAATTGCTTTCAAAATTTTATGATGACATCAATATTGATTTAGACGAGTTGGGGTACATGGAGGCTCATAGTACTGGCACGGTTGTGGGTGATCCCGAAGAATGTAGAGCAATTGATCAATCTATATGTAAAAGACGAAACAATCCATTGCATATCGGTTCTGTTAAGTCAAATTGCGGCCATGCTGAAGGATCATCCGGAATAGTATCCTTGACTAAAGTCTTATTTACTTTGAACAACAATTGTATTCCGCCGAATATAAATTTTTCAAAACCTCGCAAAGCAATTGAAGGAATTCAGGAAGGAAGACTTGTGGTAGTAACTGAAAAAACGGAATTAAAGAAACCATATGTGTGCATTAATTCATTTGGTTTTGGTGGGGCAAATGCTCACGCACTTCTGAAGCAATACACAAATGAACATTCAGTGTCAGCATATGGGGAAAACGATTTGCCATATTTATTGACTTGGTCGAGTCGTACAGAAGAAAATATAAAAACTGTGTTCGACAGTATAGAATCTCAGCCCTTTAATTTGGAATATTTGGCATTGATGCGATCATCTCAAGCGGGTGGTATTAAAGGAATGTTGTACAGAGGATACAATATTTTAAAATCTAAAAATCAAACGTCAAAACCAGAAGCCTTGTCAAGGTTAGTTCAATACAATGATGGTGTTAAATATCCTATTGTTTGGGTATTTTCCGGAATGGGATCACAGTGGGTTGGGATGGGCAAAGATCTCATGAAAATCAAAGTATGCTCAGAATCAATTTTAAAAAGCCACGCAACACTGAAATCAAAAGGTTTGGATCTCATCAATATCCTAACATCAGACAATATCGACACATATGAAAATATCCTTCACTGTTTTGTGGGTATTGCTGCCATCCAAATAGCATTAACCGATCTACTTCGGCTTCTTCAAATAAAGCCGGATTTTATAATAGGCCATTCTGCGGGTGAAGTTGGATGCTCATACGCCGATGGATGTTTAACTGCGGAGCAAGCAATTCTAGCTGCTTATTATCGTGGAAAAGTTAGCATTGATGTTCAAACAGTTCGAGGTTCAATGGCAGCTGTTGGTCTAGGATTTAGGGACATTAGACCAATGCTACCACCAACAATTGAAGTAGCATGTCACAACAGCAGTGAATCATGTACAATTTCAGGGCCAGTAGATGATGTTGCTAGTTTTGTTGAGTTTTTAAAATCGAAAAAAATATTCGCTAAAGAAGTTCCATCTGGAAATATTGCTTATCATAGCAGATACATTCAACAATTTGCCCCTGAACTCTTAAAATACTTAAAAAAAGTTATTACTAATCCAAAACTTCGTTCTGAACGGTGGATTAGTACTAGCGTTCCATCCGATAAATGGTTGCTTAATGACAGTAAATATTGTTCAGCCGAATACCATACTAACAATCTACGCAACAGTGTACTTTTCGAAGAGGCTGCAACATATTTGCCAAAGAACTCGATAATGATTGAAGTAGCCCCGCATGCTCTGCTTCAAAGTATTATGAAGACTTGTAACCCAGATGGCATCTATATCGGTCTGACTAGACGTAATGCTAAAAACAATGTTCTTCACCTGCTTGAATCTCTTGGCAAGTATGTTAATTTAAATAGTCAACTTTGGCATATATATTTATCGCTAAATGAATCTAAACTTTTCGCCCTCATTTAGTCTTTACATAAATGGATGTGAATTAAGTCTAGACGAACTATACCCACCAGTTAAATGGCCCGTCTCAAGGGGAACCCCTTCGCTGAGCAACTTGATAGAGTTCGACCACTCATATGACCATGTGGTTCATTTTTATGAAGACGATTGTATCAAAACAGGAAACAAAACAATTACAATAGCACCCAATACTGAACACAAGTATTTATTTGGTCACGAAATTGATGGCAGACCATTGGTGCCAGCCACATTTTACATAGAAAGTGTTTGGAAATCGTTTGCAATAATGCATGGCACTCTTGATTTTGAAACTTTCGATGTAGAATTTGAAAATGTTAGATTTTTACGAGCTACAACCCTTTCAGCTAAGGATCAAATTAAACTTCAGGTCTCAATCCAACGTGGAACCGGTGTATTTGAGGTAAATATGTATTTGTAAAATGTTCATTTGTATTAAGAGCACACAAATCCATTTATTCATTTATTTGAAGAGCTTACAGTAACAACATAAGTCAATCATTATCTAAAACTAGCCGCACATAAAATATTTTACAAAATTTTAATATATTTATTTTATATATTTGATTTAAAACAAAAACTTGCAAAAATTAATTATTTTTAATTAATCTAGATAACTGAATCGAAAACTATTGTTGCAAGTGGTGTAATACGCAAAATACCTGAAAAATCTCAACCTCCTGTAATATTTTCGAAACCAAGTGGAGAAAAAGTAATTCTAATGAAAAAAGATTTCTATAAAGAACTTAAATTACGTGGGTACCATTACAATGGAGATTTCCAATCTGTTGACTTGGCTTATGGCGATGGATCATATGGTAAAATAAAATGGTTTCACAATTGGGTCGCCTTTATGGATTGTATGCTCCAGTTGAGTATTGTACAAAATGATTCACGTAATTTAGCGCTGCCTGTCAAATTACGCTCTATGCGCATCTACTCGAATTATCATAAAAACACCTTTGTAGATAATTGCGAAATTGAGGCTTATGCCGACAGTAATCGTGTAGTTGCGGGTGGAATTGAAATCGTTGATCTGAAAGCTAGTCATATTCAAAGACGAAAGCCTCCGGGCGAACCAGTTTTGGAGAAATATCAATTTATACCGAATTTCGAAGCTCCTAGACTTACTGCTAACGATATATCGAGATGTTGTATACAACTGTACTTGGAAAATTTCTCGGTGGCCAAATGTTCCGTATTACAGGCTGTTAATTCACCTGAACGAGATTTTGTATTTCTTAATGGTTTAATGCAGGCAATAAATGATTTACCAACCGTACAGGGTGGTTATATGGTTTTAAATATGAATCCAAATTTAAATTTTACACAAGATTCTCAGGAAACTTCAAATATAAAATATGTCAGTTCTGTTGAGGAATTAGAAGGCAGTGCAGACATACTTTTGTTGGATGAAACAAATTTAATTTCAGATTTACTAATGTTAGAACCAAAATTATCCACCAACTCTATGGTTTTGATAAAAACAACTCGTCAAAGTACTCTTGAAAATTCGAATTTGCAAAAGAATTATCACTTAATATCACTTATACCTTGCTTAAATAGCTCCTTTTCAATATTGATTCTCTTAAAAAGGCAATCTATAGAGCGATTAGCGGATGAAAATGTAGAAACATTTATAAAAATTTCCGAATATGACAACAAGTTTCAATGGATTAATGAGCTTAAAGGTGTTATTGGAAAACGTGTAGTATTGGTAGCCGAAAATGAAAAACATAATGGTTTGATTGGCTTAGTAAATTGTCTGAGAAAGGAACCTGAGACTCCGAATGTGCGATGCGTTTTTATAGATGACATGAGTGCTCCTGAGTTTGATCCCAATCTACCATTTTACAAAAATCAGCTAAAAATGGGTCTCGCGATTAATGTATACCGCCAGGTAATTTCACAATAACTTTATTTTGTTACATGATGAATTACAGTCTGTTTTACTAGGGTCAATGGGGAAGTTATCGTCATTTGGAATTGAAACCCGTCTATCCGGCAATAGAACATAGAGATCATATTTGTGGTGCTATTGGAAATATTGGAGACTTTTCAACATTGCACTGGCAAGAAGGACCATTCAGCCAAAATAATTCCAAAATACGTATAGCTTATTCGGCACTTAATTTTCGAGATGTTATGCATGCTTCAGGGCGTCTATCTGCTGAGGACGTTGGTCTAACGCGCCTTGAGCAATCGTATATTTTTGGTCTAGAATATAGTGGCATCGATGAGAAATCGGGCAAACCTGTCATGGGCATGGCATTGCACTCAGCAGTAGCATCCCATATGGAACCCAATTCAATGATATCATGGGAGGTACCAACCCAGTGGACTCTACGAGAAGCCGCTACAGTTCCTGTTGTATATACAACTGTATATTATGCTTTCTTCTATACCGTTGATATAAGAACGGGAAAAGATATTCTTATACATTCGGGCAGTGGCGGAGTAGGAATTGCTGCTATTAGAACAGCCATTGCATACGGCCTGGAAGTATACACGACTGTTAGTAACCTTGAAAAGAAAAAGTTTTTACTGCAAACTTTTCCACAACTTAAAGGTTTGTTTCGTTTGATAGTATTGGGCAGATGAGCCGAAAATATTTAAGTATTTAAGAAAGTATTTTTACATGAAATTTGTTTGTAGAAGAAAATATTGGAAATTCTCGGGATTGTTCGTTTGAAGAAATGATTAAGGTACGAACACATGGAAGGGGAGTTGATTTCATCCTAAATTCTCTATCTGAAGATAAACTGAAAGCTTCACTTCGTTGTCTTGCACCAAATGGACATTTTCTGGAAATTGGTAAATTTGATATGGCGAACGACAGTAATATTGGTTTGGGTGTCTTCTTCCAGGGACAAAGTTTCCATGCAATATTAGCAGATAAACTTGAACAATATGCTCCGCATTTACTAGATGTAAGATATATAATCACAGTGAACGCACATACATATATATATATATATATATATATATATATATATATATATATATATATATATATATATATATATATATATTTATATATATATATTTATATTTATATATGTGAATGTAACTAGTCTTCTTTACAATCTTTAATTAGAAAATTAAAAGACACGTCGCGGAAGACATACAAAATGGCATAGTTAAACCTCTTCCATCCACTATTTTCAAACCATCTGAATTGGAACATGCATTCCGTTATCTGATGACTGCAAAACATATTGGTAAAGTTTTGATAGAAATTCGTCCTGATATAGAATCACCTGCTACATATCCCGTTTCTGTGACACCAAAAGTATATTTCCACAAAGAACTCGTCTACGTAGTACCTGGAGGTCTAGGCGGCTTTGGTTTAGAACTTGTTGATTGGATGATACTGCGAGGCGCACGAAAGATTGTTTTGAATTCAAGACGTGGATTATCGGACAATTATCAGAAACATAGGATTTCGTAAGTACATACGTATATGCCTCATTGAATAGCATTTCAGTTCAAATTTATTACTATAAATATGTATTTAATAAAATTGTAGAATATGGAATAGCTATGAGTGTCAAATAAGAGTAAACACGTCAGATATTACAACAGAAAATGGCTGCTTAGAACTATTAACAGATTCTATGAAACTCGGAAGTATTGGTGGCATTTTAAACTTAGCAGTTTTGCTTAAAGATGGTATTTTTTCTAACCAAACTATTGAAAGCTTTCAGCAATCAATGGCGCCGAAAGCATTCGCCACTAAGTATCTGGATAAGTTGTCTCGGAAGCTTTGTCCTAAATTACATTGCTTTGTCATATTCTCCAGTGTTTCCTGTGGTCGTGGCAATGCTGGTCAAACTAATTACGGTATGGCCAATTCTATAATGGAACGCATTGCTGAAGAACGTGTATCACATGGATTTCCTGCAAAGGCAATTCAGTGGGGTGCAGTCGGAGAGGTGGGACTGGTGGCCATTATGGCGGAGGGGAAAATAGATTTAAATATTGGTGGAACCCTGCAACAACGCATAAGTTCATGTCTGGATGTATTGGATATCCTTATGACATCTCCAGATCCGATTGTCTGCAGTATGGTGGTAGCGGAAAAGAAAATTATGGCAGATAGTCAAACGGCACTTCAATTCGTTATGAACACTTTGTCGCTGACGCAATTAAAATCCATATCTGTTAATTCTACTCTATCTGAACTTGGGATGGATTCTCTTATGGGAGTAGAGATCAAACAAACGCTCGAGAGAAATTTCGATATAACTTTATCACCAGCAGAACTACGAGCCCTAACAATTGAACGCTTAAAAGAACTTTCTGAACTACACAAGAAAAAGTGTGTTGAAACCGATAATAACAGCGATAATAACAACTTCCTTACCTTAATGGAAAGTTTCTACTTCAATGTTACATTAGAAACTATTAACTCTGATTATATGCTTCCAGTAAACAATGTCAAATTAAAAAATGATCCGATAATTATATTTCCCGGTATTGAAGGTATTTGTACGAAAATTTGGACACAAATTGGAATGCAATTGAAGGCACCAGCTTATGTTGTGCAGTTTTTAACAAAATTTGATTCAAATAATTTTATCAATGTTGTCAAATATACTGTTGATGTAAGTATAGTCTGAAAAAACAATACAGCTTGAAGAAGTCCATTATTTTTCAAGACTTTATAAGCTATAGAAAAACAGTTGTAACATATTTTTGTTGTTCTTAAACTTTGTTCTGATATATCTTATGGGCATATAAAATTTAGATTTTTATTAAGTACATATGAACTTTTAAAATATTTTTTTTAATTTTTACAGAACATTGCAAAGTTGCTAAATGATCGAGGTATCAAAAAATTTAGAATCGTAGCTTATTCATTTGGTACTCTTATCGCTCACATTGTAATTAAATATTTGGAAAAATTGGGCTACACTGGTTCCATAATTTACATAGATGGTTCTCCAATATGGGTAGAAAACATAAGTAAGGAAATGAAAACAATGAAAACTTTTGAAATTGAAAAGCAAGTAATTCTTTTAACCCTAAAATCTATTTTAACCCCGGAGCAAATGGTGGATTTTAATAAAATCCTTTCGGATAATAGTAATCTGGAAACAATTTTCTGGAATATAAAACAAAATTTAAACATTAAGAACGTAGATGAATGCTTACAATATTTAAATGCCGTATTATCCGTTACGGAAGCAGTAATCCACTCCGAAATATATAAGTCGGTGGAGATCATTGAATCAAAACTTTTGATGATAAGCCCAACAAAATTATTGCAACCAAACTTAGATAAATTCTATGGTCTCAAACCGGTTACCAGAAACGTTATAGATGTCACAACTCTTGAAGGCGATCATCAAACTATACTGCAGAATGAAAAGATTCCCAAATTGATAAACCAATATTTTGGCAATGAGTTAAATTAAACTAATTATAATGTTTGTACGTGTGTATATAAATTAAGTTCTGAATGTAATTAAGTGTTGAAATACATATTTCTGGTCTTTGTAGCAGACAAACCTATTATTAAATTGTTTAAGAAAAATTATATGTTTGTTTTTGGACGTTTCATCATTATCGGTCAATACTCTATTCGACTCTAGGAATGCATGTGATAAAACGTAATCACATTTTTATGCATTATATAAAAAAGACCCATTTATCTGGATATAATAATCTTGATAGGTAATGGCATTGCCACAGTCCACGTCGATATTTTCATGTATTTAAGTTTTCTAATAATACACATTCATAATTTTTATGAAAAACTATTGTCCAATTCACAACTGGTATTTGTATTTTGTATCGTTTATTAAAATACAGAATTCCGATATCTGCTTGTGAACAGCCAATTGTATTGTAAAAAGCCATATTGTAAAAAAGAAAGAAAAACATCTTCAATATTTATAAAAAAAGAGGATATAGATGCCAAAGTGGAAACGTTCACAAGTGCCCTGGTTGAATCGTTCGAGGACAGCTGCCCTCTGCGAGAGCGGAGATCTGCCCAGGAAAAACCCTGGGTAACTGGGGAGATCCGGAACCTTGGGAAGACTCTTCGCAAACTATTTAACCGGGCACGGCGTAAAAAGACCGCAGTATACTGGGATGAGTATCGTAATAAACTTGGTGAATATAAGAAAATCGTTCGAAGAGCCAAACGAGACTCCTGGAAACTTTTCTGTGAACAGGTAGATAGCGTAAATGAGGTATCGAAGATAAAAAAATTCCTATCCAAAACTCATGTCCAACCGGAATCTATGATCGATGACACGGGCAGGAGGCTTGAGGATATGGAGGAGACAATGAAACTCCTAATGGATTCTCATTTCCCACCCGGTATATCGAATAACATAGATGAACCGATATTGGAGGAAGGGGAGGGTAACACGGAAATAGTTATTACAACTGACATGGTTAAAGGGGCAATCAAGAGCTTTGCTCCCTATAAAGCTGCAGGGCCGGATGGAATTTTCCCGGCACTTTTGCAGATGGAGGCGGGACTGGTTTCCGTACATCTGTCACAGATATTCACTGCATGCTTAAAATTGGCATATACCCCAGTTAAATGGCAGGATGCAAGGGTAATATTTATACCCAAACCAGGGAAACCTAGCTATGCGACACCTAAGTCCTATCGACCGATAAGTCTTACGTCCTTCCTACTTAAAACCTTGGAACGGATAGTCGATAGCATGGTTAAAAGCAGCATACCATACAATGACCTTAAATATAAGCAGCATGCTTATGTAAAGGGACGAACCGTGGAGACCGCTTTAAATGAAGTTGTCCACTACATAAGTGAATCTTTCGATAGCAAACTGTATACACTGGCAGTATGCATTGACATCGAAGGCGCTTTCAATAACGTGCACACTGATACCCTTATCCAATCCCTAGACCAGTTTTATGTTGACCGGGTGCTCCGTAACTGGATCAACTACATGCTAAGGAACAGATGGATAAGCTGCGAGATGTACGATATAACTATCAGGAAAAAGGTATTTCGCGGTATACCACAGGGTGGCATTTTGTCACCTTTACTCTGGGTCACCACGATTAATAGCCTCCTAAGGACCCTAACCGAGAAAGGACTTAGACCTGTCTGCTATGCAGACGATGTCGTAATACTTTTAAAGGGAAAGGATCCAAATTACTTGTGTAGAAGAGCTGAGGAGGCTCTGAATACGGCCTTGAGCTGGGCTCAACCGAGAGGCCTCAATGTTAACCCGGCGAAGACGGAAATCTGTCTTTTCACAAGAAAGACAAAAATTTCTACATATACTGAACCTTGCTTCTTGGGCAAGAAGATACCGGTGACAGACAAAGTTAAGTACTTAGGTGTAATACTTGACCGGAAATTAAAATGGAGACACCACATAGAGGATAGGATCAACAAGGCACATCGGTGCTGGGCGATATGTAGGAGAACCATAGGCATGAAATGGGGTCTTAGTCCTACTATGACAAATTGGCTTTATAAAAGTGTAATTAGACCAATTCTAGCTTATGCTTCAATAATCTGGTGGACTGCTTTGGACAAAAAGTGTAATATCAAACTACTACAGGGAGTTCAGCGTACATGCTGCTAGGGTATAAGTGGTGCCATGTGTACTACTTCAACCAAGGCTCTGGATACGTTGCTAGATATTCCACCCATTGAAACATATATAAGATATGAGGCGGCGCTTACAGCCGAACGGCTCTTTACTTTAGGCGAACTGGCCAAAAACGGTTATAGGACACGTCATCAATGTATACTGGACACATTGGAAGGTTATACACATTCATCGGACGTGCCTGATCGCATACCAGACACTGAATATGTCGGAAACTTTGAAACGCTAATCCCAGATAGAATGTCTTGGTCAAGCGGAACATTAGAGCAAATACCAGTAGGAATCCGTTGCTACACGGATGGCTCTAAATTAGGGGACAAAGTGGGTCTGGGGTTCTATATTGAAGACCCAGAAACAGAAATATACCACCGTTTACCTAATCATAACACAAGCTTCCAGGCAGAAGTACGAGCAATAACGGAATGTGTAAATTGGATTAGAATAAATATGGCGCCCACAGGGCTTAATATATTTACCGACAGCCAGAAGGCAATTTGTGCGATATCAGGTGATAGAATTAAATCTAAGACCGTATTGGATTGTAAGAAAGCTTTAACTGAATACTCTCCCAGAGGTAAGGTTCACATCATATGGGTACCAGGCCACTCGGGAGTAGCCGGCAACGAAAGGGCGAATGTAATAGCTTTAAAGGGAAGGGAGCTCGATGTAGTTAACCTGACAAACGCAAAACCATTCGACGCAACAAAAGCTGAATTAAAAATATGGATGAGAGAATCCCATAAGGCCTCTTGGAATAATGAAACGGTGGGTAGAACCACAAAGATTCTATGGGGTGACCCTGATGAGAGCAAGACGAGAAATCTTCTCAAAATGAGCAAGTCTGAGGTTAGTATGATGGTACGTATTCTCAGTGGACACACAGGATTACGAGCACATCTATACAAAATTGGACGTGCGAATTCAGACGAATGTAGAGCATGTGGAGAGGACAGTGAAACTCTGGAGCACTTTCTTTGCCATTGTCAGGCATTCGTCGAAGTTAGATCCAAGTATCTTGGAAGTGATGTTATTCCAGAAATAACATTCTTAACCAACACCGATTGGAAGATTCTTAGGAATTACGTCCAGGAAACTGAGTTTCTGAACATGGAAAAATAATACATTCAGTGAACAATTTTTTTTTTTTTTTTTTTTTTTTTTTTTTTTTTTTTTTTTCTTGAATTGGAGCGCACAACAGGCCCGATAGTGGCCTAGGTGTATTTCTTCGGATTTGATGTAGTATACATCCTCCTATCAACCTACCTACCTACCTACCTTTATAAAAATACAATTACATTGAAAACTAAATTAATTATAGCACAAATATGAATTATTTTTCATTTTATTTCACTTTAAAGCACTTTCTCAAATGTTTACTTTATGAAATTATTCTTCTACTGTTTTATCTTTTTTAAAATTGGGCATTCACATGAGAATGATAGTTTGACATTGAATACGAAATAAATAAACATATGAAAAACAAACGTAAAGTTATACGAGCTTTTTTAATTGAAATTACCAACAACATTTATACACAAGTGTAAACTAATACTAAAATACACACGATACGTAGATACACGAGGCTTGTGAATTGGACATATATATGTGCAAGTTCAACCTATTTTGCTCAACTTTCGTATTCACGTCATTTGTAGAAAATCGATTAAAAAAATAAAACAAATCTGCAATTAAATGTTTATGATTATTGTTAAAATATATTGATATATGATTATCCATACATATGTATATACTTATCACAAAATTATATAAAAATTTTCCAATCACATCCAAATCTTAACGTGGATAAACTACGGATGTGATATGTATTTCTCATTAATTAATTATAATACATAATGATTTTAATAAGCTTAAACTAATTTATAAACTTGTATATGTATGTATGTATACTATTTTAAGTTTATATGGAACACAAGTTAAGGGCAGTCGGGCGTATTTGTCAGTTTTTCCATAATCCGAATACTATAAATAAATAATCAAATTTAATGAGAATGTGCGGACATATGTAACTGATCGATTTCATCTTAAATATTTCCATTCCGGAGTATTCAGGCGATCGGTAATGAGCACAAGTCATTTATATACATAAATACGAGTAAGTGAACTAACAATTTGGAAAACGGTAAACTTTTTCATATTATTGAGAAATGAAAAGATCCATTTTCTTTTAAAGCTTATGCTATGCTTGATTCATCGGGTGACATCTCTTTAACGCGAGAATTGCGTTTTAAACGTGGCGGTGGAACTGGTACTTCAACCCTATCTGCTTTATTATCATTGGCTGCTTTAAGGGGATTATTTTCCAATGCAGGAACTGAACTAAACGCTGACAGTGTTGATCTTTTCTGTGGATTAGCCGTTACTATGCCTGGCAAAGGCTTCTTTTTACATAGACGTTTATCCAGATATTCCTTGCATCGTGCGATAAGCGGATTGTTTTTGCGATATAAATACCATATTGCCAAAAGAACCAAACCAAGTAATAACAATATAAATATGACAAGCAATGGGACATAATTGAATGATTCCGTGGATTCCTCTGGTTGACTGCGTTCCGTGCTGCTGGTAGTTGTTTTGGGGCGCAAAGTTGGTCGAATAGGAGGTCTGACTGGACGCTTGGGAATACCCTCTCCTAATGCAATATCAGCACATGATCTAAATTCTTCCTGAGGTCCACAACCAACAGCTCCATTACCATCAGGACACATACCCCAGTTATTTCCAGCTATATAACGCCACTGTAAAACGCATTGATCACAAGTTATGTCTATATTAAAGATAAAAAATAATGGTTAATATGAATATTTATAAACAATTGTCAAAAAAATACCATTTTTGAGAATCTCTTTAAGAAATACTAGATAAATAATTTTTTAAAAGTATAATTTAATAAAAAAAATAAAATGATATGGAA